GTAGCGTGGGGGGTGAGGGAGATCAGGTCTGCCTGGAGAAAGACCCTGCCCAATGGCAAATAGAGGCAAGAGGGAGGAGTGGCCCAAAGTCAGCACTCCAGGCTGATCTGAGAACAAGCAATATCCCTCTGAGGGTCTGCCAGTCCAGAGCAGTCCCCCCACTATGTCCCCTGGGTTCTGCGGAGGTCAATTTGCCCCTCAAGCCTCCAGCACAGCCACAACCATCAGGTGGAGATGCTATCCCTTAATCTCCTTTAGGATTCAAGTCCAACCTTCCTATAGTATGCCTCCACTTAACTCTACAGAGGGTTCCAGAAACCTCCCTGCCAAGATCTAAGATCTAAGCAGGTGGAATGGGGGGAACAAAGCCCCCCAACTCCCAAGCCCCTTCACCAAAGGCCCGTTCAAAAGCTGGGGAGCAACGAAAAATAATCCTGGAACCCTTATACCCCCAAGCTGAAAAGCTATGCTGTCCATCCACAGCACCTTGGGGGGGCTGGGGCTCCTTGCCCCCAGGACCCTGTTCCAGACCCTCCAGCCCAGCAACCATAATAAACAGCAAGCTCTTTTTCTTTATGACACCAAATTTCTCCAAGCCCAACAGCTCCTTCCATCACTACCTCAGCCATAGATCACATTAAAAACTCACAGAGGGCAACTTAAACACATCACATTTGTTTCTCTCTATATTATTTCAAAAGTAACGGCATTAAAAATGGATTTTACTACAGAAAATAAATATCAGCACGTGGCCCGGGAGCCCAGGCAGGGGGAGAGAGCCCACCCGGAGAATGTCCCTGAGGGCTTAGGCACAGCTTAGACACTGACCAAGGAGGTGGCTGAGAGGCCAGATTACACGCTGGGGTATGGGGGGATGCCTGGGGCGGGGGCAATGCCTGCTCACCTGGGCACCTGCTCCAATGCCAGACCAAGAAGGAGAAGAGTACTGGTTTGGATTGGTGCTCACTGGTCCCCCAAAGCTCGTACCCTCATTGATCTTTGCAACCTCTGAAGGGTGGGAGCTCTGGGGCCAAGAAGTTCACCAGTCTCTGGGGGTTATTCCAACTATTGACACAGCAAGAGAAAAAAATGAATTCAACTTACTATCCAGTTTGATTTTCCATTACTATAAAAATAAATATACATCTGCTCAAAAGAGGGAGATGGCAAGCGGCATGCACATGCCACCTGGGGGGTCCCCACACAACTCACCACCACAACCCAGCGCCCCCCCCACACCAAGAGGGGTGGGGAGGGGAGTGTGGATAGACTGGTAATCTTTCACTTACAGCCCCAGCTCACACAGCTACAAAACCGGACCACACGGAACAGGAACAAGCCAACAATAGAAACACCCCAAATGCTCCTGGCAGGACTCTGCCCAGGCCAAAGCACATGCCCCCGCCCCGCTGGTGGCAGCAGTGGACAAAATGTGGCCACCCCGACCCGGAGGCAAAGCTTGTCCTCACACCCTGAGCTCTGCCCAGGGAGCTGGGGCCAAGTCCCGCCTGACACCAACTGGTCCGGCGGGAAACGCCTGCCCAGCCAGACAGGCACAGGCCCCCCCAAGGGTCCCTCCTTGTGTTCAGGGACCAGACTAGTGCAGCCCAGCCCTGCCTCCCAGGGTGATGCCTGGGCCCAAATTCAGCTGGCCCTGCCAGTCAGGCACTGGTGCAGAACGGAGGGCACCAGGCTCAGCCCCTCCCAGCCCAGCCTCAGGGCCCCCGAGCTAGAAGGGAGGGGGGACTCCCCACCCCTCCACATCTGGCCCTGGCCCCCAGGGTCTGCGGTAGAAAATTCCCGCCCCCGCTTCTCTCTCTCTCTCTCTCCCTCCTCCCTCTCTGTGCCCGCTGCCCGCCTCAGGGACAGCCCCAGCTCCCGCCTCCGGCCAGCAAGGCCCACATCCTTCCTCCCTCAGCTGGCCCCTTCGCCTGGCAGGAGGCTGGGGGGTCAGGCTGCTGGGGAACCCCTCCAGTTCCCATCAGTCCTCATCCCCAGCCCCCAAACTCTGGGTTGCTGTCCCTTTTCCTGTAGAACAGGAAACAAGGTTATTTCCTAGACTCAGAGCCAGCCCCCTGCCCCTCTGGCTCTGCCCGGGGACCGGGACCCAGCAGGGGAAGGCGCCCTGAGCCAGAAAGCAGAGGGATTCAGCAATTCACCCCCAGCTACCGGCCCAGGGGGCTGACAGCTGTCACTCAGCACCCCACCCCTGGGGAAGAGGGGGCCGATTCAATCAGAGCCCCAGAGGAAACACATTGATAGGCGATTATTTATTTATTTATGCAAAAGTGAGCCGACTTTGTTCGCCAGGTAACAGGGCACGCGGCCCAACCCCTCCAGCCCCGGCCGCCCCCAAATCCCTCCTCCGCCCCACACCCCCTCAGGGTCATTAGGTCCCCGCCCCTCAACTCCCTGAGCACCAGCGGAACCTTGGGATTTGGGGGTTGGAGGGGAGGGGCTCCTCCCTCCGCAGTCTCCCCCTTTCCCAGCGCCGTTCCTAAAATCCAGCCTTGTTCTCCGCTCCCACGGTCCCCCCCTTAATTTCTCCCCCCCCATTCTCAGCAAGCTGGAAAGCAAATTGCAGTTTTAAATCCAAAGACGGAGGGAGGGGGAAGGAGGAGGGGGCGCCGGGCAGCGCTGGGCGCGCACCTCGCCCCCGAGTCGGGGGAGCCGCGGGGCGGCCAGGAAACCCGAGAACCCCCCCTTCTCGCCCCCCCTTCTTGTCCACCTCCCCCTCCCCCTTCCCGGCGCTGCCTGCCAGGCTTCGAGCCGAGCCCAGCCGAGCCGCGGGCCCCGGTGGAAACAAAGACCGATCGCACCGCGGGCACCGCAGCCACGGGGTCCGGCGGACCGGACCGGGGCGCGCGGAGGGGGCGCAGGGCCCCCCCTGGCGCGCTGCACAAAAGAGCCCGGCCAGCCGGTCCCCAGCGGGGGTCTAGGGCTGGGGAGGAGGCGCCACTCACCGGAGTGCTGGGCTGCCGGCTCCGTGGGTCCGAGCCAGGCAAGGGGCTTTGGGGGTCGTCAGTCTTCCGGCGGCGGCAGCGACGCGGGCACCCGGCTGCTGGGGAGAGGAGTCGTGAAGGAACCCTGAGCCGCCCGCTGTTGCTGACAGCATGGCTTGCGCCTGGGCTCACATTCTCCGCCGCTAACTCCGCTGGACACGGCCCCCAGCTCCCGCGGCGCCCCCCCACCTTGATCACTCCTTCGCTCTCTCTGGCCCCCCTCGCCCCCCCAGCCGCACACACACTCTCACAGCCCTGGACACCCCCGCCCCCACCCCCCCAATTGCAAACCTGGGAGGGAACGCGCCCCGCGTAGTCCTGCTCCTGCTCCTCCTCCGCCCTCCTCCCTCCCGCTCGCTCTGGCTGTCTGTCTGTCTCTCTGACTGTCTCTATCTCTCGCTCTCTCTGCCTTTCTCTGCTCTCAGAGCTGGGTGGGAAAAGGAAATGAGGACAGAAAGCAGACGCTGGCTTTGGGTGGTGGTAGCTGGATTCCCTCTCTCTCCCTCCCCCTCCTCCCCTCCCTCCTCCTGCCTTCTGCTCTCTCCGCTGCGAGCGGGGCTGAGCGCAGCCTGGCGGGTGGCTCGCTCTGCCCGCCCGCCCGCCTGTCTGTCTGTCTGGTCTGCCTCGCTCGCTCCCTCCCTCCGTCTCTCGCCCTCGCCCTGCCTGCCTGCCTCTCTCCGTCTCCGCCGCCGCCGCCGCTGCCTCTGCGAGCTCGCTTTACCTTCGCCGCTCACCATCCGGAACCCCAGGGGGGAGCGCGCGCGCGGCACGCCGGGACTTGTAGTCCCCGCCCCGGCCGCTCAGCGCGCTGGGCGGGCGGGGCCAAGCGGGCTGCTCCGACGGCGCGGCTCCGAGCCCGCAGGGACCCTAAGCCCGATCACCTTCGGCGGGGGCGCGTCCTAGTTTACTAAGGGATGCTGGCTTTGCTCCAAGGATTGGGAACATTTCCCCCGTTCCTTGTCCCCTGCGGGGGGCTCTGGCTGGAGCAGAGGTTGCGGGTGGGAGCAAAGGGGCGGGGACTGAGAATGGAATGAGGGTCGAATAGAGAATCAAGGGATTAGCCAAAGGACCTGCGACTTTCTGGGACGTCCCAGTTAAATGGGAGAGGAAGAGGAGAGAAGGGAGGATCAGTTCTCTGAATTTGGAAACGTTCTCCCTTTCTGAAAAGGTGCCTTACTGAGTAAAGCGCAAGGGCTTTATGCGGGAGGGCTGCTCCAGAAACCTCACAGCCCCACCAGCGCCTCCTCCTCACTCAGTGACTCCATCTCAAGCTCTGAGCTCTGGATTTATCCCCCACAACTCCTAGTTTTCCTAGAAGTCCAAGGGCGGCGAGGGCACAAAAGTCCTGGATAAACCACAGACAGAGCGCGCGCGCCCGCGAGCACGCGCGCGCGCGCACACACACACACACACACACACACACACACACACACACACACACACACCCTTCCTGAATTCGGCTGAACATTTTCATTGTGTCAGGAAGCAAGATTCAAATTCAACAGTTCAAAGCTCCTGCTGCGGCCAGGGGGCTGGGCTCAGCACTTTCACCTACCTCCTCTTCAGGTCACATCTGTTATCCAGCCCCTAGCTCTGGGCCCCCTGCCTGGCCCATCCCCACAGATGGGAATGTGCACTGCCAGGGCCTGGTTACCAAGGGGAGGTAGCTGGACAGCCCAGGAAGGAGAACTGCTGCCGCCGCCATTTACTGGACACCGCAGGGCCCTTGAGTCCTGCAAAGGCCTAGTCAAATGGTACTGTTAGCATTTCCAAAGACGGGGGCACTGAGGCCCAGGTACCCCAATTAAGAAATGGTAAAGCTCATTTGGACTAGGGTCTGGCTGATTCCAAAGCCCACTGTTTAACCTCTGGGCCATGCAGGGAGTTGTGATTCCCCAGGACTCTGTCTGATCTTCCCTCTCAACATCTGTGTGTCCTCCCCTGGCACTTCAATTCCATAAATGTTAACTGTGGTATGCAGGGCTCACAGAGGACATGGAGATGAATAATGCATGGTCACTGTCCTGTCCTCAGTGTCTACCAACACCCGTCCTGACTGGTCCTGCAGTAGTCCCATTTCGTCTGTGTGTCTGACATTCCTTTGGCCGTGCCCGTTGGCTTTGTCTGTCATGCCCCATGTCTGAAGTTCCACCAGTACTGCCTTTGTCCTTGACTCACCTGTTTTTGACTCCTCTTTTGGCCTGTGGGGTGATGTGGGATAATGGCCAGCATGTGACAAAGGCAGGTGGTGACATTTTGCCAAATGCAGCTCCCTATCACCACCTTCCCTACACCTCCACCCCTCCTAAGCCCCTCTTTTAAGACAGTCTGGAAATCCCAGAGGGCAAAAGAAGGGATCTGGGGAGCACTCTCTATTGGCATTCTGTGGGGGAAGGGAGCAGCAACAGTTGGAGAGGTCTAGGGCTCTAAATGGTACACCTATTTATCTGGTATCATGGGGCTGGCATGACCAGCTGGACAGGCCCCCATATGGGAGCAGCTTCTCCTTGTAGGCAAAGCTTGGGTTCGAAGATCTATTTACTGAATGGGAAGTGTTATTATAAGGTCAGGTATTACTGAAAGCAGTGGTTAAAATCATTAGGGGTCCTTTGCAGTAACAAAGTCTGAGTCTAAAGTTATCACAGATAGATGAGGCTTTGGCATCTTGCCTTAGGGAGAGACTTTAACATTGGGGAGAGTAGGAGAGGCCCAGGTTCCCCTTTCTTTTAGCCACCCCCATCCTTACCCATTAGGCTCTGTCTCAGGGCATGAAGACTCCACTCGGTCTTTACCAAGTTTTGGGAGGGAATTGGGTGGGGGTAATACAGGATGGCTTCAGGGAGCTAGGTAGCCCCAGGTGGACTGGGATGAAGAGTTTTGGAAAAGCACGGGAGGGGACAAGTTAAGTAATGAGATGCAGAGGGCAAGGTTAGCAAGGTCCATGGCTCCATGAGAGGAGAAAAGAAGTTAGGTAGGGTTTTCCAAGCATACCCTTCCCACCCCAGGCTGCTTCAGCTGCCCCCTCCTCAAAGAGAGAGGGTGCCATTAATCACCAAGGTGTTGGGTATCGCTAGAAACCAAGCATGACAGGGTTTCTGAGTCATTTGGGGGCTGGTCTTTCTGTTGAAGCCTCTCCAAATTGTGGTGGGTCTGGGGTCTCCCTTCGACAAACTCAAGCCAAGTCTTCTGTGGGCTGCTGCTGCCACCTAGCGTCTAACTTCTATGTCTGCCTCGGCAGCCGTAGTCTAAAAGGATTAGGGTTAGTTTACCCAGTCCTAAAATAGTGTAGGCGTCACCACAGGCTAGGCAGGGTAGCAGTAAGCTTCGAAGAAAGTTGACTTGAAGGAGGGGACCCAGGTTCTGGAAGAGCCTGCACTATCCCTTTCTGGGCTCAACTCACTCCAGCTACTTTTGTTTCAACGTAAGCAGAACGTGGTACAGCTAGATCCTAGGAAACAGAGGTGAGAGTCTAGAAAAAATTGCATGGCCTCAGGGTTTGGAGGCCGTGTGGGATAGGAGCCACACAGACCTGATTCTTATTCTGCTTTTACTTGTGTGTCCTTAACCTCTCTGAGTCTCAGTTTCCATATATATAAAATAGAGGAGTAACCCTTTCTCTGTGTTAACAGGCAGAGCTGTTGAGAAGACTTACTGAGCACATGGATGTGAAAGCACTTTGAAACCTGTCAAGGGCATGTTGAGGGATTATTGAGTCATATAATAATAATGCAATAACTGAGCGGTCACAGTAGCCTGGAGCCAGGCCTCTGGGCTCATGGAAAGTCAGAACGAAGTGAGTCTTCGGTGGAGACTGGTGCTGTCCTCCCTGACTACAGAAGTTCTGGGGCTGGTCCCGTTCTTGGAGGTCCCTCAGGAAAGGTGTGGATTGCTAGAGAGGGCCTCATCCCAGTCCACAGAAGAGGAAACTGAGGGTAAGAGAGGTTGAGTCTTATCCCAAGCCCAAGCTATACAGATCCAGGAACAAGAGGGGCATTGGACTGGAGCCATTATGGCCTTGGTTTTCCCCTCCTCTGGATGAGAAGAGCCCAGAGCTGGGGCCCAAGAGACCATGGAAGCAGAAAGCCCCCCCCCCCATTGTGGTACAGTGGGAACTAAGGCCCCCAGGCCCCCATTATCCCTCCTCCTGTGCCGTCCCCTCTCCACTCCCCCCTCCCAGTAAGTCCTCCCACATTCCTCCAGGCAACAGGAAACCCCAGCTGCAGCCCAGACTTCAAACAGCTCCTCCCTCTGGGCAGGGGGTGTGGGAGGAGAGGCCAGAGGCCAGAGGGCAAAGGTCATCTTTGTTCCTGCCGTAGGTGGTGAGGGACCCTTAGGGAGACAGAGGGGGGCAGGGTAGAGCCCTTGACAGCCACACTGTGTGTGTGTGTGTGTGT